AGATGCTGGTTGTGCTCGGACCTGCTTTCTGCCTTTCAGGATCGCGACAGTCTTGGTCATTGCTGTCATGGCTACCGTGACTGCCTTCTCCGCCTCTTCCCTTGTCCTCCCCAGGGCTGTCGCCACTGCTGTCACCACAGCAGTCAGGAGCAGAGTCATATCTGCTTCATCAAAGAGATCATCATCTCTTGAGGAGGGCTTTGATGCCTTCTTAGAACCTTTCTTCCTTTGGATCTTTTTCTGCTTCGGCATGTCCGGAAACTCCGTTGTGTTGGAGACGTCCGGTGTCGGCTGTGGGGCGGCTTCCTTCCTCTTAGGAGGTCGGGAGGCCTTTTCACTTTTCTTCCTGCCCCACACGTGTGCCTGTGAAGCGACTGTGGCTGGGTCCAGACTCTCCATCAGAGTCTGTCTCCGGCCTTGGTCGCTTCGGTGCGCCCTTTCGGCTGGGGGGCTTGTTCGTGGGGGCAGCAGCTGCTGGTTCGGCTGGTCCAGCCTGTGCTCCCGTCCCTGCCGGGGAGGCCTTCTGAGGGGGACTCAGGGGCCTCCCTGGTTTGGGTGCTGGTCCGGAGAGACCAGCACGAGAGTTCATATCTTGGACTATCCTCTGGACTTTTCGATTGCCATCTGGAGCCACAAATGGCTCCAAGGTGGCTGCTGTGATCTGGGCCTTGCATGGGTTGTCAACATTATGATCAGTCAGTGGGGGTTTTTTGATTAATTTTTCCATGTAATGGCAAGTGCTTCATCCTCTCACGCCCCCACCCACCACGGAGTCCAACAAGGGGAAGCTGTGCGTCAGAGCCAGTGTCTGACGGCCACAGGGGTGATGAGAGGATATAAGCAACCAATAACCATTGTAGCGGCGCTCACGGACCATGTGAGTGCCAATGGAGGCATGACTGCTTGACCCTAGCCTCCCATGGGAGACCAGCCGATTGACCGTGACCGGGCCGGGATCAGGTCGCCTGTCTTGCTGAAATAGAGGACCAAAGAGGCGTGTTGCTAGCCGCAGGGCGTACTCATTCACGGCATCACTCAGACTCCAGGACTCCCGTCTAACAGCGCACAAGGCTGCCACGCACGGCAAACGCGTGGGTAGGTGTAAACCCCTGGGGAGAGACCAGAGGGGATGCCCTTCCACCTACAGGACATCATTGTTTGGAACCCTAGTGCTCGTCCCTCAGGGAGGGATGGAGCTCTTTCACTTTTTCCAGTTAGTTCCTCTCATCCCTCTGAATCAGCCACCCAAAGGCTGTTTCACCACAGTGAGGGAGGAGAGGGCCTGAACCTTTTTCAAAGTGAATTCCTCCTTCCTCTGAAACAGCCACCCAAAGGCTGTTTCACCACAGTGAGAAAGGAGGAGTCCTGCACCTTTTCAGGGAAGCTTCTTCAGCCCTCAGGAAGCAGCCACCCAAAGGCTGTTTTCCACACTGAGGGAGAGGAGCTACCTTTCAAGGTGGTTCCAGTGGCGGGACAAAAGCATTGTAGGAGCCAGTGTAGGTGTGAACCCCTCGGGAGAGACCAGAGGGATGTTCTTCCACCTACTGAACATCATTGTTTGGAACCCTTTTGCTCATCCCTCAGTAGATGCCACCCAAAGGTTGCTTCTCCTCAGTGAGGGATGGAGCTCTTTCACTTTTTCCAGCTAGTTCCTCTCATCCCTCTGAATCAGCCACCCAAAGGCTGTTTCACCACAGTGTGGGATGAGAGGGCCTGAACCTTTTCAAGGAAGCTCCCACAACCCTCAGAAGCAGCCACCCAAAGGCTGCTTCACCACAGTGAGGGAGAGAACCTAACTTTCAAGGCGGTTCCAGTGGCGGCAAAATAAGGCAGTGTTCTGTCTAGCAGCAGCTATTTCGACAGAGCTAATGCCAAAGGGAGGGGCTCCTACCTGCCTATCGCCCTAAACGAATAACTTGAATGGCAGTCATTAAATGGTCTGCCAGACCAGTCCCTAGCAAAAAGATTGGCAACTCTTTGTGCACCGTAAGGCAGGCACGATAAGGCCCCCCAGACACATCCTCCCCTGCGGGAGGTAAAGGTCTGCCCACGTCCGAGCACGCGCCCGAAGATGGGGTCCAGTTCACCAGAAGGTGCACAGAGAGTCATCCTAATGCCGAAAAATCCGTAAAGGAAAGTATAGGCTATAGGGCACGAAGCTAAATGCACAGCAGGCACATAGCGTCGCGGCAGCAACGAGGGGTGGGCGCCGAAGCGTCCTGTAACACGGCAAAGTTCCCGTGAATCAGGCATCACGGTGACCCCCTTTGCAACCATCGGCATGGCGTGGCTGCCACCCGCGGTACTCCGGGCATCATGGTGACCTTCTTGGCGTGTCGGCATGATGGTGCGGCCGTTACGCGTTACGGCATCACGGTGGCTATCTTCGCGTTACCGAACGGCAAAGCGCCACCTGCTGCACCCCGTCGCTTTTCCTGACCAGTACAATCCTCTCTTCACTCTGAATTAACCAGGAGAGGCTAATTCACCGCAGGGAGAGAAGAGAGGAGAGTCCGCAAGTCGAATCCTGTGGCTGGAATGCGTTTGTAGGATCTGCTGTTTTAGGACTCGCGATACCAAGAATGATTAGATGCTGATTAGAATGATCTGTGATATATTGACATGTGGGTGTAAGTGCTCTGCAATCCTCTGTTTAGCTGTAACTTTACAGTAAACTGACCAACGTCATTTCGAGTGTCATTTTCGGATTTTCAGATATAACTACGGTTGCAGATCAAAATGGTACAGTTTATAATGATCGAAACAAGCTGATTTTAGAACTGAATTAATGTGTTATCTCCTAATGTCAGCAAAACATTATTTTCATTATTTTCTATTAGATCTTAATATAAACAAAGTTAAAAGACTATAGAAAGACTGCCATTTTAAAACAAGCACAATTGTATGCATATATATGTATCTACGTGACTATTAACACGTGTATCCCTCCGTGCTCCTGATTTTGCGTCAACAGGAGAGGCATAAGATAGTATACGGATATATCCCGGATGCAGAAGAAAAATAAAAGATCAAGAAACAAAAGCGGCAAATAAAGTGTAAGAAATGAAAGTAGAAAAAGATAAATTTTTGTGTATATATATACATATGTATACATATATATGTACCTCTCTTTCTCTCTCTATATATATATAAAAAAAGAAAGAGGGGAAGAAAGCGAGAGGAAGTCAGAAATTGTGTGTGCGAGAAAGAGGGGGTAGGCAGGGAATGATGAACGCAGAGAGAATTATCATCATGAACACCAGCAGTGATGTTACTGTCACAGCATCTGTAAATACTGTTTACATTAGTATTATGATTCTATATGATTATTATTGTCGAAAAATACGCAAAATATGCACACGAATGAAAATGTGATAAGTGTCTTTTCATGTAGACATATTGGATAAATTTGTTCTTATATAAAACAAAAAAAAAAACAAAAAAAAAACAAGTACTCTGCCATGCTGGAGATATTCATACACAAGTCTTTTGCTCAAGAATACTGATTTCCCCTATACTCCCTCTTATAATATTCCTGAAAACTGCCCCACAGTACTGGGAGGTATTCTTAATGACGATTCGATTAAAAGTCATCCCCCGGAATTCTTCGCTCGCAAGAAGCGGGTCACAGACTCACTTCCCGCTCAACGCGTGCCACAGGTAAAACCTGTGGCCCTCCGAGGCTGTGGACTCGGCTGGCCTCGTTCACAGCTCAGATCTGCCTAAGTTTGGATATGAACCGATAAAACTCGGATCACTAATGAGGTTGCATTTACCAATTTAGGTCCGTCACGTTAAGGTAAGGTTACGAGTTGTGATCCAGTCACCGACTAAGGTCACCAATCAGTTAAGATTCACTATGCTTCTTTCCTTTCACTCTGCCTTATTTTGAGTTTTGTTCTACTGTGTGGTTATCTGCTGCAGTTGCATATGAGACTGCTTCTTTTAATTCTATTAGATTTGGACACTGGGCATCATGGGGATTTGAGGGCACATTCAGTCATATACAAGCTTTGGAACAGATTGCCTTCAAAGATTGTAAATCCTTCGACTATTTATAAGTTTAAAAGATTAGCAGATATGTCTTTACTACAAAAAAATATATTTTTTCTTTCTCTTTTAGCTGTTATTATTATTATTATTATTATTATTATCATTATTATTATTATTTTTTTACCTGCACTGACAACTTTGGTGATATGGTGATTTTTTTTAGTGTGATAGTTTATATGGCTTACCATAATAATAATAATTCTGTCTCCGATGCACAGGAAACTATCGCCCTTACTTCCCCGACCTCCCTGTGTCATGGTGGAAAATGCCCAGACATTCCTGTTTTGTTTTTAGTTTTTTGTCTTATCCATATACTGTATATTTCAGGTTATGGAATATATGTACATCGGATTTATATATTTAAGAAGTAACCCTAACTACATACTAAAACAATTAAACCTTCTTTAACCATTAGCAATGAGCTAATTCATCAGAATTCTAAATGCCTGAAAGATGACCACCCTCTGTAAGGCAGAACCGCACACAGCAAACCCTCAAGTGACCCTCACCAGGTGTGAGGGTCACTTCGCCGCAGGTAGGGCGAAAGGCTTTTCATGACCCAGACTGAACTCTGTCGCCTCAGTCTCCAGTGGTACTAGAAGCGGTTTGGTGAACCACGGAATTCATATAAAAAATCTCGGCATTACATTCAAATAGTTTTTGGCTAATATGATCACAACGATACCTCAATTTAATTGAAAAGTACTTATTATACTATATACTTAGATGGAAGTTTCGTAATTACTATATTAGTGCCATAATTATACGTGTAATTCTAATCTACAAATGTATATATATTTGCTTTACCTACTCTATTCTTCGTAAAAAGCTGACATCCATTAAATTCTTAAAAAAAAAAAACATCAATTAGTGAGAATATGGCACCTTAACAAGACTTCCTGTATGAATCTAACATTACACAACAGGATAGATGTGTTGACGTCTTCCTCAGTCAGAACTGAAGAGTCAGGCTGTGTCGACACGTGTGCGGAAGGCTCGCGATGAAACCAGCGCTCAGTTCCTGCTTTTCCCTCCTAACTTGTGTACTGGCGTGCTGGGCTCTCAGTACGTAGTCTTTAGATTTCAATGGAAGCAGTATTTATTATTATTGTTACTATAATAGTTATTATCAAAATTGAATATCATTACCATATTCATCAGCATTATCACCTGTTCTTTCCTTCCACTAATTTCCAAACATTTCCCAACAGATGGCACTGAGGAGAGCCTCTGCACGAAAGGTACGTTATGTGACCGATGCTACGGTGTACGTTTTCCCTATTTCACGCAAAGAATACCACAGCACACGCATAAAACAACTGAAGCCCTGCTTAGCAAAATTGATCCCCAGGGAAGTTATTCGGGCACCATAAAGCTATTTGGACAAATCCCTCCCCAAGTTTGTTTGTTTGTTTGTTTACGGCAGCTCACTCACCCAGGCGTGACCATATTCAAGATCACTAGAAATATCCTGTGATGATGACTGAAATATTATAATACGTTATAGCATATTCATTAAACAGATCGCACTTTAAGTGATAATTCTGTTCATTATTAAATCGTTGCTAATAAAGGCTAAGCGAGATGTTTTACGTATTTTTTCTTTTATTTCATAGCCTTCTGAACTTTCATATTAAGATCATCTGTCTGCTTTGATCTGCCACCAAATACATAATCAATGGTTACCTGGCCTTTCGTCCACTAGCATCCTGTGATTTGCTAGTTTCCACGTTTGATTTGCTTCACTTGTGTTTCCTTGTGATTATTTTTACATGCTTATACACACGCACACACAAATATATATATAAATATATAAATATATATATATATATATATATATATATATATATATATATATATATATATATATATATATTTATAATATGTATATATATGTATGTTTTGTGTATATAACATTTAACTCTATATGCATGCAACACACACATGTAACTACACACATATATCTATAAATATGTAAATATATATAGAAATATATATATACTCACATGTAACTACATACACACACACACACACACACACACACACACACGCACACATATATATATATATATATATATATATATATATATATATATATATATAAATATACATAGAAATATATATAGAAATATATATAGAAATATATAAAGAAATATTTATAGAAATATATATAGAAATATATAAACATATTAATATACATGTAATTACACACACATATAAATATATGTGTAGTTACATATGTGCATGCGCTCACACATACACATACTCACACACACACATACACACTCATACAAACACATATGTGTGTGTGAGCGTATTCATACACAGAATATATATATATGTATTTCTTTTTAAGGATATACAGCTGTTTCATAGACGACGTTAAAAAAAAAAAAAAAAAAAAAAAAAAAAATACGATTCGGCGTAAATCCATTTATCTATTTTCTCTCTCCATTCTCAAGAGGCGTTATGCGCAAGAGGCCTTGCAATTCCGATCGACGACCAGCTCCGCCAGGTGGCCGTGTGGACAGGAAACGGCAGCAGATTGGAAATTAACGGCCCAGGTGTGGATCTCTTGACGAGCTCAGAAGGGAAATGGCTTAACTTCACTGCAATTCAGAATGGTGAATATCTTTTACTTAACCATGCATGTGTATGTATGCATCAGTGTATAAGTGTGTGTATATATATGATATGTATATGTATATATATATATATATATATATATATATATATATATATATATATATATACATATCATATCTTATGAATAAATAAGTGAATATACAGATATATGTATATGTGTGTGTACATATATACTTAAGCGCACACACACACATTTATATATACGTGTGAGATTCGTACAAATAGCAGTACAGCAAAAAGTCCTTTGGCATAATCGTGTTTTCTTATTTTTCTCTTCGTTGTTCTATTTGCACACACTCATATTGTTTGTGCATATGTAAACGGATACGATCACACACACGCACACACACACACAAACACACATATATACATTTTTTGTGTATATACACATATATGTAAATATAAATATATGTGTATATATAAATATGTGTGTGTGTATATATATATACATATATGCGTGTGTGTGTGTCTATCTCTCCATATATATATATATATATATGTGTGTGGAGGTATAGACAAATACACGCATATCTTCTTTTCTTGCTGTAGCTTTGTCTTAATCATATGTGGGGTCGCTATGGTCAGGTTCTGGCAGATATAATTTAATGGGCGGATGCCCTTCCTGACGCCAACCCTTTCTAATTACCCGGGCTTGGGATCGGCACTGATTTGGGCGGGCTTGCCCACCCAGTGGCTAAGTTACACTATATATATATATATATATATATATATATATATATATTATATATATTTTTTATGCATATATATTCACATATTTGTGTATACATACATATATGTGTGCTTATTTGAACATGTTTCTTTGTGTGTGTTTGTGTGCGAAGATATATAGAAATAGATATAGATTTATGAAAGCCCACACATATGAATATGTGTGTATATATTAACAAGTATATATATACACATATATGTACACACATATATAGCTTTCAAGTTTATTTGCAGGTTCTGGGTACTGCGTTTCCTCCGAGGCATTAGCGAAGGACTCTTGCGATGAGGATTTGAACCATCTGCATCTCTGGAGTTCCCGTGAGACCAAGTGGAATCTAGAGCCTGCTATCATGACTTCCGGTAGATGTGCTGTGCTTGTGGTTCGAATTATAAAAAAATTACATGATAAAATATAAGTTGTTGATTTTCTATTACTTATCGTTTTCCCCTCTTTGTGGATTTAAATTTTTGATTTCTAATAGCTATTCTTTACATTCATTTACCTCTCTCCACATCCAAAAATCATTAAAAGAAAGATAAATAGAAACACGGTTTTACTATGACAGTACTAATATCGATATTAGCATTGATAATGCTACTACGAATGATTATATTAATAATGCAATAATAATTCTTTATAATAATAAGCATAGGAATAATGATGGTGATAGTGATAATTATGATGATAATCATAAAATAACAATCATAACCGAGTCAACAATGATAATGATAGTATTAATAAATAATAATAATGATAACAAAATAATAATAACAATAATAATGAGCATGGGAAAAAAGTAAAATTACAATTTTTATTGCTATCATTATTAATTTTGTTATATATAAAAGTAAATAGCAGCATGGAAACGTTCTAAATAATATAACAATAATGCAAGATATTTATTAGTGGCATTAAAAGTCGCTTTGTCATCAATATTGATGCATGTAAAAAATCATCAAATGTCAGTGACATTTTGATATATTTAAACATTATTTCTCGATATGTATAAGTCACACGTTATTAGATTCAGGGATGTTTCTTTATTTAAATTGTATACATATGGGGTCAAATTTAAGGGATTTAAGGGAAATGCCATGAAAAATATAAAAGAGCAAATGTCCTAATACATTTCTAAACAACGCCCAAGAAAAGAACGAGAACAAAGTAAAATACGTCTCATTATACTAAATATACACTTACAGGATGCAGCCAATACTACCTGCTTGGTATCGACTTGGACCTGCACGATTCGCCCACCAAGCTGCTCTGGCGGCCGGGCAAACGCGCCATGAGCCTGCACTTGAATTTATGGGAATCCAGACCTTTAAAAGTCTTCAGGAAAGCAGATTCACAGCTTCAGTATGACATGACAATTCGGCGTGCATCTGGTGGTAAGTCTACCCTAATTTAGGATTTACATTGGTTGAATTACGTGCCTGATTAGATGACTGGCAAAGGTTTATATGTGCGTAATAATAATAAAAATGATAATTATACTAATGATGATAGTAATAATAATGATAACAATACTAATAAAAATACTTAAAGCAATAATAATAATAATAATAATTGTGATAATTATAATAAAGATAATGACATTAGTAATAATAACTGTAATGTAAAAAGAAAGTTAAAAAGTCTTTCTTCTAACATCTCCAACTTCATGAAAGTAGTCAGATTAATCCACCTGACTCTGTTCCAGATGCCCCCTGTGTTGTAACGAGTGCCACCCTCGATGTGGCCCACATTTGCCAGATTAATCAAAGAGAAATATATGGAATTACCATTACAAGCTTAGACGACGACGGCAAACTGACTCCAAGCTACTTTTCCTTTGACTGTGAGGATGACGCAGGTGAGTTCTCCTTTCCCTTTCGTACGATCTCAATTGGGAAAATTATTTGTCGTGAAAAAAATCTCCGTAAGCTTCAAACTGCAGATGATAAAGGTAACAGAAATCATAAGAGAATGGTTATGTTAAAAGAAATCATAATAATGACAGCTCTTTATTCATGATAACTATAGTACTACTAATAATGTTAATACCAATGGCAATAAAGTGCTGAAACAAATTTTAGCAGAAACAATAACTCAGGAATTATAGCAAGAAAAATTTTAGAAAAGTTGATGAATCACGCTTTGTAGTCAAATAGAAAACCTTTTGTAAAGTGACTGATAGTATGAATATTAATTCCTTATTTTTTAAATTATCTTTCCATTGTCCACTTTTAACATCTTACAAGAATTTCATTACCACCATTTCAGATCAAGATTCTGACTCCGATATGGACTTAGAAGTGTCATTGGTCCTACTGAATGTTATCATCTTAACTTTCCTACTTGGGACCGTCTTCATTTAGGAAGCCAAGTCATCAAGTTCCATTGGAAAATCAAGTCATCAAGTTCCTTTGGGAAATCAAGCCATCAAGTTCCTTTGGAAAATCAAGCCATCAAGTTCCTTTGGAAAATCAAGTCATCAAGTTCCATTGGAAAATCAAGTCATCAAGTTCCATTGGAAAATCAAGTCATCAAGTTCCATTTGAAAATCAAGTCATCAAGTTCCTTTGGGAAATCAAGCCATCAAGTTCCTTTGGAAAATCAAGTCATCAAGTTCCATTTGAAAATCAAGTCATCAAGTTCCATTGGAAAATCAAGTCATCAAGTTCCATTTGAAAATCAAGCCATCAAGTTCCTTTGGAAAATCAAGCCTTCAAGTTCCTTAAGAAAGCCAAGGGATGTTGCAAACGCTGCAAAGCGGAGGGAGAAGCGCGAGACGGAAGGGGGGAGGGAGGTAGGGGAGAGACAGAGGGAGAGAAAAGGTGGAAGAGGTAGGAGAGGAGAGAGAGAGAGAGGAGATGGAAGAGGTAGGAGAGGAAAGAGAGAGAGAGAGAAGATGGAAGAGGTAGGAGAGGAGAGAGAGACAGAGAGGGAGAAGGTGGAAGAGGTACGAGATGAGAGAGAGAGAGAGAGAGAGAGAGAAATGAGAGAGGTAGGAGAGGAAGAGGATGAGAAAGAGAGAGAGAGATAGTGGAAGAGGTAGGAAATTCAAATTCAAATTCAAAATACTTTATTCCATTAAATACAATGATTATTCCTTTTACAGAGAAAGGGATTTTACAGTACATGTAAATATAAGGTACCCATAGAAATATTGACAGTACATAGTCATGCCTATTCGTATATATGGAAGCCTGGTGTTATTGGTGATTTAAGAGATTTTCTTTTAATTTCTTTTTGAATGTATTAGAGTTTCTGATGTTTCTGATATTATTTGGTAATTTGTTCCAAATCATGGATCCATGTGTAAGTGTCTGCCGTGCCCCTATATCTGTGCGTGATCTTTTGATGTGTAGGGAGTTTACCTGTCTTGTTTGGGCACAGGTTGTGTTTCCTACGGTTGGAAGGGTTAATAGCCATTTTGGATAAAACCCTTGGATTATATTGTGAATTAGTACGCAAGTGTCATAGTTACATTTGTTTTGTACTTTTAGCCAATTTAGTTTAGTGGTCATACGTATTGACATTACCAAGCGCTACTCTCGCAGCGAAGTTCTGTAATTTATGAGAGAGAGAGAGAGAGAGAAGGTGGAAGAGGTAGGAGAGGAGAGAGAGAGAGAGAAGTGAGTGAGGTAGGAGAGGAAGAGGATGATAGAGAGAGAGAGAAAAGGTGGAAGAGGTAGGAGAGGAAGAGGATGATAGAGATAGAGATAGAGAGAGAGAAAAGAAAGAGGAAAGTAAAGAGGAGAGGGAGATAGGAATGCAATATTTTGTTTGTTTGTTTGCTTATTTGATTGCTTTGCAGAACAAAATGGTACAATTCATATGGAATACAGATTGTGATCTGAGGGTAAGGATTCAGACTAGTTGGTTTCAGAATTAAATTGATGTGTTCCGCTTATGCCAATAAAGCCTCATCTGACTATTTGTTGTTATTTTCTACCTTAGATCTTAATATAAACAAAGCTATAAGGCTTTATTAAACCAAGCACATTTATATGCATATATGTGTATTTACGTTAGTATCCTTTCGTGCGTGATTGTGCGTCAACAGGAAAGGCCTAAAATAGTACACGGACATAAAGAGGATGCAGGAGAGAGATAAGAGATCAAGAAACAAAAGCGAGAATAATTATGTCTCAACCTTTCTGTATCCTGGTGGAGAGAAAAATCTAAACAAATATATCGTTTTTCTACTTATCACACACACACATACACTCACACACATATATATATGTATATATATGTATATATATATATATATATATATATATATATATATATACATATATATATATATATATATATATATATATATATATATATATATACATATATATATATATACATATATATATACATATATATATATATATATATATATATATATATATATATATATATATATATTATATATATACATATATATGTATATATATATATATATATATATATATATATATATATATATATATCTGTCTTTCTTTATCTCTTTATCTTTGCCTATATGTGTGTGTGTGCATATATATATATATATATATATATATATATATATATATATATATATATATATACATATATATATATATATATATATATGTGTGTGTGTGTGTGTGTGTGTGTGTGTGTGTATAAATATATATATGTATATATATATATATATATATATATATATATATATATGTATATATATACATATACCAGTAATTATGATAATGATAGTAATAACAACAATAATTATGTAATAATGATAATGATGAAGATAATGATAAAATTAAGGGTAATAATTATAATGATAATGATAATAATAGTAATGATAATGATGAAAAATATCAATGATAATAATAATAGTAATAATGATAATAATAATAGCAAAAAGGAGGATAATGCTGAAAATAGTAATGATGATAACACCCATAATAATGATAATTGTGATGATGATGATGGTAATAAATAATACTACTGCTATTAATAATAATAATAATAATGATAATAATAATAATAACAATAATAGAGATAATAAATACTAAAGTTTACACTCGTAATATAAAAAATAATGATAAAAATGATAATTGTGCCGATTATAATCAAACAATAGTAATTATGATGATATTGAGGATGAAAATGATAGACGCAATGATGATAATTATTATAATAATAATAAAAAAAATAATAATTATTATCAGTATTATTATTATTATTGTTATCATGATTATTGTTATTATTATCATTGCCATTATCAGTTATTAATAATGATGACAATGATAATAATAATAATGATGATAATAATAACGGTAATAATCTGAAAGTAAAAATAATAATATTAAAAACAATAAGAATAATGATAATAGAAATAGTAATAATAGTAATAATGATAACAATAATGACAATAACAATGATGTGATGAATGCATAGTTTAAATTTGTCCCTAATTATTAAAAGAATGAAGATTGTCGCTATGGAAAAATGGTTAAAGTTATGGCATGGAATTCCCAAGACCTGCGTTCGAGACTGTTCCATGTCAAGAGTGGAATCACACGTAGGTCCCTTTTTTATTTTCTTATATAAATAGTTCTGACAAAGAGGATGAATATGAAAATACTCATGGCAGTTGATATAATCAAACATAATTTCAATTATTAATATGTAGACCCGGACAGGTGAGAAGCCACAACTTTCGTAACAGGAAATTTCACGATAAGATAAGAAATATCAGACTTCGTTATGCTGTGGCAGGTGAGACGTAACGAGTTTTTTTTTTACTTTTAAGAAACTTATTTTGGAAGCCTCTTTTTGAGCCTCAAAATCATATAAAACATGAATGCGAAGAACTAGACGATTATGCCCCATTGTTAACCCATTCACGCCGGGTCTCATGTGACGGGCCCACTGTGAGTTTACTTGTTTAATTGTTTTTCCACATAGATGGCTTCACTTGTACTTTTACTGCCTGTCTCGCCTGTTTACCCTTTTCTTTAATTTACGAAAATATTATACGTTATCTTATTTTGCTGTTACTAACATTATAGTAATTATAATGTTTATAATAAAAATAATCATCGATATTCATCGTACTAGTAAAAATACATTTTCCCGCCAAATGGAATCAGGTAAGGCAGAGCCATCTAGTGTAGAGAAATTTCACAAAAAGTATAAAAAATGAGCACAGCATTTCCCCCATTTTTTGTTCATTTTTACCCGGCGCGAATGGGTTAAATGCGATTTGACTCCCGGGAGGCGGGTATTTGATTGTCTGAGGGATTGAACACCTGCTCATGGGATCTTCAGCGATTTGGGTTATAAATGCTGAGAGACGAGTGCGACAAAATGATTACATGTACTTCTCCCTCTTTACAAGAATGGGTTAACAAATCGATTTTTTTTTATGAGTTCACAATGTTCGTTATTTAATGACAAAAGGTGGACCACGTCGCTGTTTGCCACACCTTTTTGCATGCATATATACTACTGTTATTTTCATTTTCTAACTCCCTTAGATAAGCTCATGTTCCTGGGAGTTTCTCGTGGTTAAATTTAATGCGTCTTGCACATTCAGCCCGAGTGTTGACATATGCTGTTCTTGACATATGCTGTTCTTGTTCTACCCTGCACAGCATACATACTTTGCCCCACAATCACACAATCTTAGTTGAACGCAATTTTTAGTTGAACGCAATGCACTAATACATAGTCGTTTGTTTTATTCTTTTACAACGCATGCCCCCCCCCCCCCTACACTCCTTGCGGCTGTTTTTATCACTTCCATAGTTTTCAAAAGTGCCGCCGTGTCTTGGAGTTTTTGAGACAATGTGATTGCATCTACAATCTACTTGGCTATAACTTGGCGTCATACTTTATGAAAAATTACTCTTTTCGGGAACGCTGGCGTACATTGGATGAGCTATTGGCGTACCTCCGGCGTGAGTTTTACACAGAATGCACCCTGGTAGGATCCTGAATATAACAGAGACAGTGCACATATGACAATATTTACAAGCCTCAAAAAGATAAAGCAATAATAAAAGAAACATCAAAGGTAGAATTACAAATAGTTAGATATAGAAGCCCCAAGATAAGAATTTTAGAATGAAGCGTCACACCGTTTAAATTTACTTGACAAGCTTTCGTTTTCTTTGAATAATGAAGTTAGGGATATCTAAATTACATCTTCTATCGGGGAAGGTCATGCGTCTTCATCCGAAATGAAAAAAAATAGTAATAATAATAATAATAATAATAACAACTACAACTACAACTACAACAACATCAACAACAATAATGATGAAGAGAAGACAGCAAACACAGTATTGAGGTGGGGGTTGGGGGGAACTGCCCCCCAGTTGACGCCCCTAAACGTATACTCAATGATAATAGTGATAATAATTATTATTATAATAATAATAATGATAATAATAATAATGATAATGATAATAATAATATAGATAATGATAATAATGATAATAGTAATAA